CGCTGTCGTATCACCATAAACTGGAAGTCCATCATTATTCTTTTTTAAAAAGGAGTTGTTTATTCAAGAGTTGCAAAAATTATCTAGTTTGAGGACAATCTTTTATTCACATTAAAACAGCACATAAAGGCAGCACATTAATATATAAGTCCCGTGACGACGGACCCCGGTTGGTACCCTTTCCCTCAGCTTCTTCAGGTCACAATCAATGCTCCCTCTAAGCTGTGGAGTCTTGTGAGCAAAAAAATTTACTTTGTGAGCTACTGCTTTAAAGATGTGAGTGAGCGATTTGGCTACTGCATAGCTTAGTTTGCTCTGGAGCCCTCCTTCCTGAGCTAATCTTTTGTATAAGACGCTTCAGGAGAGCAAAAGTTCCACATTGTAGGAGTAGCAGCTATGCACAGCTGGCTTCAGTGCTGCGTTCACATCCTGCTTCTTCAGATAGCTGGTACTCTTTTAGCTGTGAAACTGAAAGTAATTTTTATGTCATGCCTATTATTTATAACAGATTTACCATTTCCCCAGCTGTCGGAACATACATACTTTTGTTGTTGTTGTTCAGTCGCACAGTCGAGTCCGACTCTTCGCGACCCCATGGACCAGATCACGCCAGGCCTTCCTGTCTTCTGCCGTCCTCTGAAGTTTGCTCAATTTCATGTTCGTTGCATCTATGACACTGTCTAACCATCTCATCCTTTGCCGTCCCCGTCTTCTTTGACCTTCAATCAAAAGATAATTTAACAAATCTCCTTAGACCCCTTTTCCAAATCCAGTCACCCCACTAACATGTTGTTCTTCCTGTCAACAAAGCTTCTACAATATTGTGGTGGTTAGCCATCAGGATTCCACTTTAAGTATGTAATGACACTCTGGAGTGGCCATATTCTGAGACTACTTACATCAGTACATGAAATCCTGTTTTACAATTTTATATTTCCAGAATTGGTTAAAAGAGGTGGGTAAGCTGGAAGGAGGGATGTTATCCCAAAATATTTTGCTTATATAATCTACAAAAATTATAGGAAACAACTTAAATCAAATTCAGTGTTCAAACCATTAGGGATCAAGGTATTTAATTTAAAGATCCACCTGTGTTCCTGACGAAGCAACTCTTTTGTAGCCAATGGGCGTTTTGAGTCTGCCACAAAGAGCACACCACATCTACATTGTTCTTCCTTGTGGTTTTTGGAAACAAAATGCTCTGTGAGTGGTGCTTCCCTTGTTTGTCATTTGTTCCCTGTAATATGTTCCATAATTCTTAGTTTCTGAGGTCTGGTGACACTTCCAATATATAACTTCGGACAGTCACATTGGATGAAATACAAATGCTGATCATGCACTTCTACTGGCTTCTCGTGCATGAGCCAAGGGGCAAGGCTACACGTTGCTGGCATCTCCTGGCTGGAACACCTACAGAGCAACTGTGGTGTGGCTAGAGTTGCCAACTCCATCTTGGAGGGTCCCAGGAGATTTGGGTGCAGTGCCTGGGGAAGGCAGCATTTGAAAAGGGGAAGGATTTCGGCAGAGATGTGACACCATTAGGATCAGCCCTCCAAAGATGCAGTTTCCTTCAGGGGAACTGATCTCCGTGGTCCAGAAAACAGTTTATAATGCTGGGAGAACTCCAGGCCTCAGCTGAAGTTATAATGCTGGGAGAACTCCAGGCCTCAGCTGAAGTTACCCAGAGTGAAGGATTTCAGACAGCCTATCCCGTTTCAGGAACTGGTTACTAACGGGGGTTTTCCTGTCATTTCAGACAGACCTGTTTTAGTAACTGGTTCCTAACAGGATATATTTACCTGTTCGTACAATGCCGGTTGTCTCCCATTTGGGAAGCGTGTCTGAGGCGTTGTTGACGAAAACTGCTTTCCTTGGGTCTTCAATCCCTTCTTCCGGATCTGAATCGCTACAGTGGGCTGTGTAAAAATGCCCCGTAGTGCTTCCTCCAGTGACACCCTTTCCCCCCCTGCACGCAATCTCTTCACACACACACCCCCGGCACGCAATCTCTCCTCTTTTTTAAAAAAAAGTTCAATTGGGAGCACTATAATGCTATAACAGGACGTCAAATCAGCATCATAGCGCTCCCAATAAAATGTTCCCCCCCAAAAAAAACCCTCTCAGGGAAATCATGCGCGTGGAGGAAAATGGTGCGAAAAAGAAAGCGGCACAGTTTGAAATAGCCACAGCACTTCAGAGACGGCTCCTTACCGGAAGCGAAATGCTGTGTGAAACAGCCGTCTCTTTACTGGTTTCCTCCATGCCGAGCCAATAACGGAAACCATGTGGTTTAAAAAGGTAATGTGAAATCGACCAGTGTGTCCCAGTGTGGATCTGGGCCGCAGTGCTGGGTAATGGGAGAGGTTAATTGTTCCCCTCAGACACAGAGGTGGCATCTCTCCAGTTGGGAATCCTGGCTGCTGACCCCTGCCCACCTTCATGCTCGAAGCCCAGTAGTCAGGCTGTCGTTCTCAACCCGTGGGTCATAACCCCAAATTGGTCGCAGTGCTCTCACAGGCGGGGCTGTAAGGCTCAAACTCCTAAGATGGGAGGAGGAGGCACTGGGGTCCCTTTCCTCTCAGTGGCAGTTATCAGTCAATCAACCATAAGCTTCATTGCATTAGCTCACAGCTTCAGCAGTTAACACCAAAGAGACCCACAAGATCAGAGTTGCCCTCTCAGTGGCAGTTAAAGGAAGAGGATGTCAGATTGTTTTTCAGTAGGGTTGCCAACTCCAGGTTGGGAAATTCCTGGAGATTTTGGGGGTGGAGCCTGGGGAGGGCAGAGTTTTGGGAAGGGCAGGGACCTCGGCAGAGTCCTCCCTCCGAAGCAGGCATTTTCTTCAGGGGAACTCATCTATGTACTCTGGAGATGAGTTGTAATTCTCCGGATGATCTCTAGGTCCCACTGGGAGGTTAGCAACTCTGTTTTCAGTTTATGTGCCATCTCTGGGACAATGAAGAAGAGACACCTGTTCAGCACTAACCCAGAATGTCAATTCTTGTTTTTAATAAGGCAAGAAATACAGATATATTCCTCAGCTTGGTAGTGCAGTGTGTGTGTATGTGGAAGGGTAGGGTACTTTAACTCCTTGGAGACGGTTCTGTATCCAGGTTCTGTATCCTTTGAGACATCTTCACTCATCTGAATCTGAGCAAGTCCTTTTAAGGTATCATCGGGCAAATAAGTAAGAGCAGCCGCGGCCCATACCCCCATGTTTTCTGTTGTGGCCCCCAACTTGTGGAACGGCCTGCCTGAAGAGTCCAGGAGGGCATGTTTACACAGAATGGAAGAGAAGGATTAGATTGATACCCTGCCCTTCATTACCCGAAGGAGTCTCAAAGTGGCTTACAATCTCCCTTCCCTTCCCATCCCCACAATAGACACCCTGTGAGGTAGGTGGGGCTGAGAGAGCTCTTTCGAGAACTACTTGTGAGACAACAGCGCTGAGAGAACTTGTAACTGACCCAAGGTCACAGCAGCAGCTGCATGTGGAGGAGTGGGGAATCAAACCCGGTTCTCCCAGATTAGAGTTCGCGCTCCTAAACACTACACCAAACTGGCTGCACTACACTACACCAAATGTGTATAAGTGTGAATTTCCTAAATTTATTTTATTTAGGGCTGCCAAGCCCTCGTCAGGGCTGGGCATTCTCTGCCCCCCACTCCCGTGGCCTACTGCTGCTCGGGGGGGGGGGGGAATACCTCCCCCCCACGCTGACTGTGGCATGATATCATTCCTGTTAAAAAAAACCAACAACACAGAAATGATACAGGGTAACCTTAGGAATCACCAGAAGCTCTATGATTTACTGGTTTTAAATGAAGTTTGTTTTTTTTAAAAAAAGGGAAGTGACATGATCTCATGGGCCCCACCCATATTTGCCATATCCCCACCTGCAACCCTCCTCCCACTTTAAGATAAACAGAGTTTAATTCTGGGTATAAGCTTTTGCGAGCATGCACACTTGTTCAGATACAGCGAAACAGACTTCTTCAAGCCTTACATATGGGGAGGGGGGTTTCAGTTGCCAGGAAGGACTAGTTAGCGTCAAGATGTATCAGTAACTGGGCGATAAGTATAGCTAAGGACGGATTAAAGCAGTTGGTAAAACCTGTGAATAGCAGCAAATTTCCGAAACAGACTGGAATGGGAGATTGCTGAAGCACACGTTATTACAACACTCAGGACGATGAAACCCCCAGAACTTATCAGAGATATAAAGGTAAAGGTTTCCTTGCTCGAAAGCCAGTCGAGTCCGACTCTAGGGTTGCGGTGCGCATCTCTATTTCAAAGCCAAAGAGCCAGCGCTGTCCGAAGACGTTTCCGTGATCATGTGGCCGGCATGACTAAACACCAAGGCGCACAGAACGCTGTTACCTTCCCACCGAAGTGGTACCTATTTATCTACTTGCAATTTCTTGCTTTCGAACTGCTAGGTTGGCAGGAGCTGGAACTAGAGACGGGCGCTCACTCCGTCATGCGGCACACTCGGGTCTCGAACTGCTGAACTACTGACCTTCCACAGCCTGCAGTTCAGCGTCTTAACCACTTGAGCCACCGCAGCTTATCAGAACTTATCAGAGATACCAGGTTCTTATCTCACTATACATGCTAAGTCACTCAGTTCTCACTTCTACCCAGAATTAACTTTGTTGGCCTTGGGTGCTAATTTGCTTCAGTGCTATGGTTGCCAACCTCCATGTGAGGCCTGGAGACCTCCCAGAATGACAACTGATCTCCATACAGCAGAGATCCGTTCCCCTGGAGAAAATGGCTGCTTGGGAGGGTGGGCTCTATGGTGATCACACCCCTGCTGAGCTCCCTCCCCAGGCCCCACCCGCAAATCTCCATGAATCTCCCATCCTGGAGTTGGTAGCACTATTTGGTGTCATCTAGAAAAGGAGTTCCATGTTAGAAGGAAATCTTCAAGATGGGGGAAGGCTGCTGTCTACCTTAGCTTCCCGTGAGAGCTTCTAACACCTTCTATACATTTTAGGAGCGCCACCTGGTTATGCACAAGCGGATGCACACAGGTGAGAAACCCTTCGTTTGTGCGGCTTGCAGCAAATCCTTTCGGCAGAAGCAGCTGCTCACCGTTCACTTCAAGAAACACCACGACTCCACTTTTAAGCCAAGAGTCTACAATTGCCCTAAATGTGGCAAGGGCTATTCGCGCTGGGTAAGCACAGTTTCCTTAAGGAACCTGATCCATCCATCCCATTCCGTGTATTTATTTATTTTTCCAATTTATATCCCGCCCTCCCTACATAGGCAGGCTCAGGGCGGCTTACACAGGGTAAACATACAAATAACAATCGAGTTACCATAAAACATCTAAAAGCAGTTCATTAAAAAGAATACAATATTAAAGTGCTAGCAGCGTTCTTTGGTACCATAAAGATGGCAGTACCACATGAGTGCAAACCATAATTGTCTGAATGTTCAGCTCGCTGATCTTCTCAGGTATAATCGGCGGGCACAGGTTGTCAGTAGCAAACCGAGGGCCAGGCTCTATAAGTTTCAGTTGTTATTGATCATGGTGGCAGCTCCTAGTTGAAGGCCTGGTGGAAGAGTTCCGTCTTGCAGGCCCTGCGGAACTGTAAAAGGCACAAAAGCAGTAAAAAAAACCAAACTCTGCTGCAGAATTTACTACCCGCTGCCGCTGGAGAGAGGCTGTGGCACAGTGGTAAAGCCGGTGCTCGGCTGGAGAAGGTCCGTGTTTCAGTCTTTGGCATGACTGGTTAAATGATCTCTGTTAAGCAGGTGTTTGAAAAGGCCTTTCTGAGATGCTGGGAAGCTGCTACCAGTCAGAGAGAGAAAGGTCAGCGGGGAGGGGCTGTGGCCCAGTGGAAGGCCTTCTTGCTTTGCATGCGGAAGGTCCCAGGTTGAGTTCCCAAGATCTCCAGTTTTCTTTCTTAAAAAATTAAGACACTAGGTAATGTGAAAGGCTTCCTGGAGGTACTGTGGTGCCCATGGGCATTGTGTTGGCACATTTTTTAAAAAAGGATAAAATGGGGGTGAGGGGAATGATGTAACCATTGGGGAGAAAGGCGATGTGAAAATGAACTAAATAAAGAGTTTCAGGTGGGTAGCCGTGTTGGTCTGAAGAAGTGTGCACGCACACAAAAGCTTACACCCAGAATTAAACTCAGTTGCTCTTCAAGGTGCCACTGGACTCTAACTTGGTTCTAAATGAATAGTTGTTAGCCAAATAACTTGCTGTTGATCCTTTATTCTGGGCAGAACAATATGCGTAAGCACGCTGAAAACTGTGGGGAAGCAGGAGCCGTTCGACCCAGCAAAGAAAGCACATGTCCAAGGAAAGACGGCAAGAGATCCGGCCACGACGCCAAACAAGAAGGTAACAACGGAGCTGATCTGGGTAGGACTGAAGGTGGAAAAGGGCTGTTTGCGTGCATAGCTATGGCCTCCCTGCCAAGTTGGATGCACCCAGGTCAGAGCTGAGCCCTAGTATTTTTATCCAGCACTCTGTCCTGTGAGATAGGTTAAAATGAGGTAGCATGAGATTGGGGGGGGGCAAAGGTGGGAGGGCACCTGGAGTTCTGGCCCCCCTGGTGGACCTCCTGATGGCACCTGGATTTTGGCCACTGTGTGACACAGTGTGCTGGACTGGATGGGCCATTGGCCTGACCCAACATTGGCTTCTCTTCTGTTCTCTTATGTCCCAAGGATACCCAATATATTTGTTGGCAGAATCAGGATTTAAACCTGGGTCTATTAGGTCCTAGTCTGACATAAGGTTGCCAGCTCTGGGTTGGGAGTTTTCTGGAGATTTGGGGGGGGGGGACCTGTAGATGGCGGGGTTTGTGGAGGGACCTCAGTGGGGTATAATGCCACTTAATCCACCTTGCGTAGCAGCCATTTTCTCTAGGGGAACCGATCTCTGTGCCTGGGAATCAGTTGCAGTTCCAAGAGGTCTCCGGCCACTACCTGGAGGTTGGCAACCTGACATTCTAATGACTCACCCTGATGGCTCTCTGTTGAGTTCAGGCCAGTTTATTCTTGGGAACAAATCGTCTTCACTTTTTTCCCCCCTTCTGTGTCTCTTTCCTCCTGAAGCGGCTGCTTGTGTGAGCTCTCAACACTATGCCATGTATAGTATTCCTGTTGCAACCTGGGATAAAGAAGAGATTCTCTTGGAAGATGAGAAAGCAGGAATCACTTGTGAGATGATCTTCAACTTGATGGATAAGTAATGCAGAAGGCATTTCTTTCTTCTGCTTGCTAGGGCTCAGATCCAGGAAGTTGTGTTTCTGATGTGTTCCTGTGAAATGAGCAGGAGTTGACATTTGCTAAAGCTGTACACGTTTTGCATGTTCCTGCTAGGGCCGTGAAAGTTAACCCAATTCTATTGGCTTTTCAAAGGAGACTCACACTTAGAAATCATCTGGTTCTCTTGCCACACGCAGTTCCAAATAAATGACTGGATTCTGAATTGCTTCCACTATATTCAGATTTGAAATTGTACTTTAAAAAGAACAGAACTGAGATTAAAGCATAATTTGAATTTATTTGTCAGTGACCACTGCCCAGATTGGAATCAGAGATATCTTTTTCAGAGACCTGTGAACTATGCACCTTTGTGTCACTACTGTCTCAAATCAAACAGGTGTTGTAGGCTTTGGTGGCGCTTCAGAAACCTATAAGACCTGTTTTGCCCAAAGAAGACAGCAGGACAAAAAGGAAACAGGTGTGTATGTCAAAGGAGACTGTGCCACTATGCAGGAGCAAACTTGAACCACAATTTGTTATTATGCTTGGATGCTTCAACACAATGGAGTTTGTGTCTTGCCCACAAAGTAGAGTCCATCGTTTAAGCGCATTAACTCAAGAATATAGAGTTTGTTCATGGCCTTTGAATACGCACAGGTACGGAATTCAGATATGTATTTGCTGGCAAAAAGTTCCCGTTGGACGAGTTTATGCATTCAGTTTTAATATGAAAATGTCACCACACAGCTTAGAGGGAGCATTGGTTTCCACTAAGTCTTTTAGGATCATACAGCTCCATTTCCTTCCCCCTTGGGGAAAGACCACTCCTTAAGAGATGGGTGAGCCCATCGGACTTTCAAGAGTCTTCATATGAGGAGCAGGAAGAACATTTTCTAGACATTCCCTTTTGTTCAACAGGCCATCAGAACTGTTTATTCTGGCTGCCTCAGTCACCTGTGGAAATCCCTGCATTTAATTACCTCACGAGTAGTCCCTCTGGGTTGGGACTCCGGTGTTTGTATGAAAATTGCCGATTATTTCAAAAATCATTAAGAAATTTCCAGAAATGATGACTGTTTATATTACATGAAACACTTTAGTGTAGTAGGAGGTGATGTGGTATCCTACTATCTGCATTTTTTGTGGTGGTTTCTGTACTTTGAATGTTTCCCGGTTTTAAAGGCAAGACTTTGCTGCAGCTGAGGCTGGCAGACACTGATTTGCGAACACTAGATGAGAATTTAATAGCAAAGCTGACTCCAGGAAACCTCACCAGAATGTTACTGTTTGTTATGTATGGAGACAGGAGAGTGGATTCTTTGTTTAATAAAGGTTCTGTGCAAAAATGTTGTTTTCTTCCTGATCTCTGGACAGAGGGTGGGTCATGTTCTGCCCCTCTGCTTAACTAAGTGAGGAGTATTCCTCCTTCCCAAGGAACCAAACTGGAGTTCAGTGGCACCTTTAAGACCAACAAAGTTGGTGCCAATCAATAAAGAAAGCGATGCTGTTCGTTACCTCCATGCTTGAGAGGAGGTGGATGGAGCATTGCAACAGGGTCTCTCTATTAATTACTCTCAGCACTCCACAATTAAGAGGGTTACATTTAAACAGTGTAATGAGACGGGGACGGCAAAGGATGAGATTGAGATGGTTAGACAGTGTCATAGATGCAACGAACATGAAATTGAGCCAACTTCAGAGGACGGCGGAAGACAGGAAGGCCTGGTGTGATCTGGTCCATGGGGTCGCGAAGAGTCAGACTCGACAGTGCGACTGAACAACAACAAATTTAAACATCACTCTCCAATGTTGATATATTGATTTGCTTCGCTATGTCCCCCACCGCCGGAATTAAATCCAAACAAATGGTGGCCATATAAACTAAGCTTGTTATTCCTGTTCGGTCCTTGCATCTGTTAAACATCTTCTTCATCATGTTGTATGCTAATTTGCTGCTCACCCTCTGCCTATATGTATGGACTGGCAACTTCCATTTCAAAATATCTGAAGAAGTGGAACAAAGTTTGAGTCCGGTGGCACCTTTAAGACCAACAAAATGGCTACCCGCCTGAATCTATCTTCTGAAGAAGTGTGTGTGTGCACACAAAAGCTCATACCTTGAATAAAACTTTGTTGGTCTTAAGAAGAAGAGGAGGAGGAGGAGATTGGATTTATACCCCGCCCTTCATGCGGAGTCTCAGAGCGGCTTCTCTCCAATGTTGATATATTGATTTGCTTCGCTATGTCCCCCACCGCCGGAATTAAATCCAAACAAATGGTGGCCATATAAACTAAGCTTGTTATTCCTGTTCGGTCCTTGCATCTGTTAAACATCTTCTTCATCATGTTGTATGCTAATTTGCTGCTCACCCTCTGCCTATATGTATGGACTGGCAACTTCCATTTCAAAATATCTGAAGAAGTGGAACAAAGTTTGAGTCCGGTGGCACCTTTAAGACCAACAAAATGGCTACCCGCCTGAATCTATCTTCTGAAGAAGTGTGTGTGTGCACACAAAAGCTCATACCTTGAATAAAACTTTGTTGGTCTTAAGAAGAAGAGGAGGAGGAGGAGATTGGATTTATACCCCGCCCTTCATGCGGAGTCTCAGAGCGGCTTACAATCTCCTTTCCCTTCCCCTCCCCACAACAGACACCCTGTGAGGTCGGTGGGGCTGAGAGAGCTCTTTCCAGAGCTGTCCTTGAGAGGACAGCTCTGACAGAACTATGGCTTGCCCAAGGTCATCCAGCAGCTGCAAGTGGAGGAGTGGGGAATCAAACCCAGTTCTCCCAGATTAGAATCCGCGCACTTAACCACTACACCAAACTGGCTTTCAGTGGTGCCACTGGACTCTAATTTTGTTCCATTGTTTCAGACCAACACGGCTACCGACCTGAATCATCCTTCTCAAGGAGTCTTTTTCCCAAAGAGACTTTTCCTCAAGAGGAACAGCTAGATCTTCTTCGTGGTCTCTGTGCATCACACCCTTGGGAATATACTGCGCCTGCGCTGACCTTCTCGGTACCGGTAGCTAGCAAAGCGGGTACTAGATAAAGGGCAGCTGAGAAAGGTTGCTTTGACTCTTGATAGCTTATACTCCACCCCCAGAATCTTGTTGGTCTCTGAGTTTCTACTGGACTCGAATCGAGGTCTTCCACTGCAGACCGACATGTCTGCCCTCTGACGGAAAACTTGTGCTGAAGGAAGCTTTTGTACTTAACTGAGCAGAGTGATCGGAACCAACCCCCGGTATGACTGGCTTGTGCAAATCAGATTGAAGTGTAGTGGGTTAGACGCGTGAAGTAAGCATGGAGACTGATGTAGTGATCAGCATAATTTACTGGTACACAACAAAGATAACAATAACGGCCGGCAGGCCAACTATATACACAACCAGGGGACACGCCCCTGGGTCCCATTGGCGGGTTTGAATTCCCGCCATGGTTCCCCCAGTGGAGGGACTAGGATCCTAGTCCCCATTGTTAAACCGGACTCAAGCTCAGGAGTGTGCGCTGACCTCTGGTGGCGGTCAGCGGACACAACACAGATTATCAGAAATGCAATTAAGTTTCCTTACAATATGGAAAGGACTCTTGAGAGTCCCTTGGACTGCAAGGAGATCAAATCAGAAATCGACCCTGACTGTTCCCTGGAAGGCCAGATACTGAAGCAGAAGCTCAAATACTTTGGCCACCCAATGAGAAGGGAGCACCAGAAGACCCTGATGCTGGGAAAGATCGAAGGTCAAAGAAGATGGGGACGGCAAAGGATGAGATGGTTAGACAGTGTCATCGATACAACGAACAGGAAATTAAGCAAACTCCAGAGGACGGCGGAAGACAGGAGGGCCTGGTGTGATGTGGTCCATGGGGCCGTGAAGAGTCGGAGTCGACTGTGCGGCTGAACAACAACAACACAATATGGACATTTTAGTGTTTTCAGCCTCCAGGTAGGAACTGGAGATCTCCTGGATTACAAATTATCTCCAGGCTACAGAGACCAGTTCCCCTGGAGAAAACGGCTACTTTGGAGGGTGGACTCCATGGCACTGTACCCCACTGAGGTGCCCCCCATGTCCTACCCTCCACAAGCTCCATCTCCCAAATCTCCAGGAATTTCCGAGCCTGTTGCTGGCGACACAGCCAATTGGGAACAGAATTAGACGTTCCAAGAGACATGGATGGCCCAGCCTAGCCCAATCTTGTCAGACCTCGGAAGCTAAGCCAGGTGGGCCCTGGCTAGGATTTGGATGGGAGTCCACCATGGAAGTCAGGGGTCGCTACACAGGGGCAGGCAGTGGCAAATCACCTCTGGATGTCTCTTGCCTTGAAACTATTACAGGGTCATCATGAGTCGGAGGTGACTTGACAGCGTGTTCCACCACCAAGGGACACAGAGCTGCTCCTTACCTGGTTTGTTGCTTTACCCGCTTCCAGGTAATGTCTATTAGTAAGGCCTGAACTGCATATGGAGCAAAATGAGGTTCTGAGGAGGTAGAATGGACTGTACCCATTCTGCCTGCAGGTGAGGACTCACATCATGTTGAAAAGTTGACTGGAAGTAGACAACTAGCTCACCAGGGAATACATGGGACTCTCTTCCCTGCAGTGCTAGTTGTTTTGCTTTGTAATTTGCAGGGATTTTTGTTTGCATTCAAGTATTTGTTCTCCTGCAATTTGAAATGATGCACTCCACTCTGCGGCCTTGCAATCCTATGGTTTCATTCTGCTGCACGTGTGGATCGACTCAAATTGCTTGTTGGTGGGGTTGCCAACCTCCAGGTGGGGTCTGGAGATCTGGAATTACAACATATTGAGACTACAGAGATCACTCTCATGTACAAAGTGGCTGCTTTGGTGGGTGGACTCAATGGCATTATGTCCGGCTGAGGTACCTCCGCTTCCTCAGGTTTAAGGAGAGCCAGTTTGGTGTAGTGGTTAAGTGTGCGGACTCTAATCTAGGAGAGCCGGGTTTGATTCCCCACTCCTCCACACACAGCTGCTGGATGACCTTGGGCAAGTCATAGTTCTGTCAGAGGTGTTCTTGAAAAAGAGCAGTTTCTGTCAGAGCTCTCTCAGCCCCGCCTACTTCACAGGGTGTCTATTGTGAGGAGGGGAAGGGAAAGGAGATTGTAAACCGCTCTGAGACTCCAGGTGAAGGGTGGGGTATAAATCCAATCTCCTCTTCCTCCTCCTCTTCTCCTCCTCCTCCTCCTTCTGACTCCTGGCCTTAAATCTCCAGGAATATCCCCCCAGAGTTGACAAGCACGCTTATTGGGTGCAAGAAAACTCACTGCAAGATGACATTCAGGCTGTTATTGCTAGACATTACCAGGAAGAGGAATGACATGGTGGGTGGTGGCAACTCTATGTCTCTCATGATGTCTGGTTCCTTCCTAATGCTCAGAGACAATAAGTCTCAATTATGGAGCAAGGGCCTGAATTCCTTTCAGTAAAACACCACACATATCAGGCCATTATTTGCAGCTGGCATGAAACAAAAATCGTGTTTCCATTTTCCTCCTTCAGGAGCCAAAAATCACACCCCAATTTGTCACTCTAGGGGGGGTATTCAGAATAGTAATTCTTCAGTGACACGGAATGGTTTCTTTTCCTCATAGCCCCAAAGCTACCAGGGTTTTATTTAACACCTCCACTGCATATTGATACTGGAGCCGGTGTAATGGCTAGGGTTTGCCTCAAGATGGTGATACAGTTTCACTCGTGTATTAGTTTACCAGGTTTAAGGAGTTCGCCAAAGACATTTGTTGCCAGGCTAAACCCAAAAAAGTGGAGATGCGGAGGTGATAACTATCTAGCAGAGTGTTCTGTGGCTCTTCCCATATGACATGAAACTTGCAAGAGTGTTGGTTGTGTTCTAGGTCACATTCTTGGGTGAAACATGGCATCTGGGATATTCCAACAGACTTGGCCATTATTTTGTATGAACTGCATGTTTGTGTTCACCCCTAAGGGCCTAAACCTGGGACGGGATGGGGGCAATAGTACAATTTCCCACAGAAAAAGTTTTTTATACTCCACTTTTCCTTACCTTAAGGGTTCTCAAAGCAGCTTACAATCACCTTTCCTTCCTCTCCCCACAACAGACACCCTGTGAGGCAGGTGGGGCTGAGAGAGTTCTGAGAGAACTGTGACTGACACAAAGTCACTCAGTAGGCTTCATGTGGAGGAGGAGTGGGGAATCGGACCCGGTTCTCCGGATTAGAGGCTGCCGCTCTTTAACCAGTACACCATACAGGCTGTCGTGGTCCAGACTGCAAGCTCATGCCCTTTTTTAGTTTGTTTCTGACATTTCAAGAAATGACATAGTAATTCATGAGATTCAAGAAATTGTATGTATGTATTGGTTCTGTGGAGGGGGAATCTATATTTCAAGTTTGTACTCTTGGGCCCTATTAGTGTCCTAGAATATACCCCAGAATCCTCTGCAACATACGGATTGTCCCGAGGACGGGACCACCGCCCCCCCCCCGCACGGTCCCAACGAGACCGCCACCAACGTCGGGAGGACGACCCCGGGACCCACCTCTACTCACCTAGGATCCCGGGCGACGCCGGAGGGAGACCACCAAGGCAGATGCAGCCACAGCCCTCCCGTCATCGGTCCCAGTCGACGCCCGCAACGGGGATGTCAGGAGTTCGCCCCAAACGTGGCCCAGAGCAAGAGTACGCCAACGCATCCGGGCCCCGCGCCCCATCAGGAAGGAATGAGGGAGAATCCGGCCCCTCCCAGGAGCCAGCGCCCTCCGTTATGATGGGGGGGCGGAGAAGGGAGGGGGCGGAGAGAGCCGGGGGAACACGGGAAGGCGGGAGGAGAGGATAAAAGGACGCAGCTGTAAGAGGCCAGGGATGACAACCTGGATGGAAGGAGACGACACTGCAGAACAGAGAGAGGGGAAGTGTCTCACATCCAGAGGGAACACAGTGGCAGACACGGTGACGGAACCTCCCTCCCCGTTCAAGAGTCTGAGGCCCCTGCTGCTTGGTCGAGTGGGCCACCAAGGTGGCAAAGACATGGGGGCTGGAGGAATCCAGTGGCAGCGAGGGGGAGTCGTCAGGGTTGTGTGACACAGATAGATGCAGAAAAAGGTGTCCTGAAGGCAGAAGAGAGAGAGAGAGAGCCAGCGTGGTGTAGTGGTTAAGAGTGGTGGACTCTAATCTGGAGAACCGGTTTTGATTCCCCACTCCTCCACCTGAAGCCTGCTGGGTGACCTTGGGCCAGTCACAGTTGTCTCAGAACTCTCTCAGCCCCACCTGCCTCACAAGGTACCTGCTGTGGGGAGAGGAAGAGAAATGTGATTGTAAGCCAGTCTGAGACTTCTTAGGGTACAGAAACCAACTCTTCTTCTTCTAGAATGTTTGGAGGGTGGCTACTTTGTAATTCTGGGGGATCCCCAGGTCCCACCTGGAGGCTGGCATCCTTACTTAAATCCCATACCACAAAAGCTATCTGAAGGAATTTAGCATTGAATACGAGTTTCATTTGGGTTCTAGCAGACTCCTTGACAGATGGCATTTTCAAATGGTTTCCAGTATCGTGCCCAATACAGCCTCTGCTGCCATCTACGCTTGATTGGCGTAGCATCAGGGTTGTGTACCGGGCAATCAAACTGACATTGGGAAGCTGTTTAACGAAGCAGCGATTCCCAGCAAATGCCAAAGGCCTTTCTGAGTTTTATTCTCTTTTTCTAATAGGCCACTATTGTTTGAGATCAACCACTGAAACAGTTGAACTCTGGGTAGCACCAGGGTGTGCGGCTATAATAAAACAGTAAAAGAATGCTGGGACCGTTTCGGATCCAACTTTTTTGTGTCGATGCTGAAGTGACGCTTCTGCAGCGCAACCAAATTCCTAGTTGTCTGTTACTGAGCACTTGTTATTCCTTTTAATTGCTTTTGGGGTTTTCCCGCCCCTCATCTCTCTGATGAGATTGCCAGGAAATCATCTTCCCCTTGATCCGTATCTCTCCCAACCGAGATGAGCGAAGGCGAGAAAGAAAAGGTCCCTGCTGCTTTTCTCTTTTGATTTCAGGCCATTTCTGTGTGTTCGGCATAGATAAAAGTGCCGCAAAAGCTTCCTTCACCTTGCATCTCTGACCTTACAAGCAAAACAAAGAAGTGATACACCAACATCCCAGTTCGGCTTTGGCTGCACACAGGCAGAAGTCTCTTAAGTGTGAAGTTTCTTAACTGTACTGTGGAACCCATATAAGCTGATATGGGCACGTGGCCAAATCAGATTGTTAGCAAAAACACCAATTGGCTGTTGGTTGTCAGTGTGAACTCATTTGTTGGAGGGACGGGGAAAGCCAAGGAGGCTGAATTCGGCCCTCTGGATCTTTCTTCCTCTTTTGCTTTCCTGGACAGACTATTACTTCTGTCACTGGCAATACATCCTGGATGGGGTTCTCTCCCAGGTGGGATCTCCTGGAATTACAAATCTCCAGACAACAGAGATCAGTTCCCCTGGAGGAAATGGATGCTTTGAAGGGTGGTCTCTATGGCATTGTAGTCCACCGAGGTCCCTGTCCTACTCAGGCTCCATCTCCAAATCTCCAGGAGTTTCCCAACCTGGAGATGGCAGCCCCCCCCCATCGGTGGCCAGGGAGACCTGGAAACCCTAAATGTAAGGTGGGTTTCAACTACAAAGGGGGCACCTGGCAACCCTAATAAATCTGCATGCTGCAGGCCTCTGGTACACTCAGATATAGCTGGAAAAGGATCATAATCTGGGAAGCCTGTTAGTGTGAGATAGGAAAGCCAGCCTCCAGGTGGGAACTGGGGACCCCCTGGTACTGGATAGAGTCTTTGGCTCAGTGGTAGAGCATCTGCTCGGCATGCAGAAGGTCCCAGGTTCAATCCCCGGAATGTCCAGTCAGGACCAGGCAGTAGAGGATGTGAAGGACCTCTGCCTGAGACCCTGGAGAGCCGCTGCCAGTCTGAGTAGACAAATACTGATTTTACTGGACCAATGGTCTGATTCAGTAGAAGGCAGCTTCACGTGTTCAAGTGTTCAATTACAGCTCATCTCCAGTCTAAAGAGGTCAGTTTCCCCTGGAGAAAACAGATGCTTTGGAGGGTGGACTCTATGACATTGTACCCCACTGAGGTCCCGGTCCACCCCAGGCTCCACCCCCCAAATCTCCAGGGTTTCCCCAACCTGGATCTGGCCACCCCACCCATCCCCATCCCCCACCAGTGGCCAGGGAGGACCTGGCAACTTTAGTATGAGAAATGGACAAATGAAACTGATCTACTAGCAATTTTCAGGATCTGAAGACAGGCTAGAAGAGAGTCTCTTTACAGGAGTTACGCCATTCCAATCCAGTGTTTAGTATTTATTGTTTTGCTCCCCTTCAGTATTTTAAACAGGCACCTGTTGCAAGTGTGGCCCAGTGGTTAGAGTATCGGACTAGGAGCTGGGAGACCCAGGTGCAAACCCCCACTCATGCCATGGAAGCTCGCTGGGTGACCTTGGCCCAGTCACACTCTCTCAGCTGAACCTACCTCACAGGGTTGTTGGGAAGATAAAATGGATGAGAGGAGAATGGTGTAAGCCACTTTGGGGAGAAAGCAGTGGTTTAAATGGTGGAAAGATGTGGGTAGGTAGGTAGATGATAGATAGATAAGGCTGATCAGGCAGTTGGTTCCCTTTCCTGAACGGAATGACTTGGGAACAGTGATCCCTGTGATGGTCACCTCGAGACTGGACTACTGTAACGCTTTCTACATGGGGCTGCCCTTGTCTCCAATCCGGAAGCTACAGCTAGTGCAGAATGCTGAAGCCAGGCTGCTGATGGGCCTCCCTGTGCAGGAGCACATCCAGCCTGTACTGAAGGCACTGCACTGGCTGCTGATAGCATACCGGATTCGTTTCAAGGTGCTGGTTTTAACCTATAGAGCCTTATATAGTCAGGGTCCAGCATACCTAAGGGACCACCTTTCCCCACATGTTCCCTGGTTGTTGTTGTTCAGTCGCACAGTCGAGTCCGACTCTTCGCGACCTCATGGACCAGCTCCCGCCAGGCCTTCCTGTCTTCCGCCGTCCTCTGAAGTTGGCTCAATTTCATGTTCGTTGCATCTTTGACACTGTCTAACCATCTCATCCTTTGCCGTCCCCGTCTTCTTTGGCCTTCAATCTTTCCAAGCATCAGGGTCTTCTCCAGTGAGTGCTCCCTTCTCATTTGGTGGCCAAAGTAGGGACGCAAAATCGGTTGGCCCTCCCAGGCCCCAAGGATACCAGGCTGGCTACAACCAGGGCCAGGGCCTTCCCAGTGGTGTCTCCATACTGGTGGAATGAGCGCCTGGTAGAGATCAGGGCCCTGCGGGACCTTTTACAGTTCCGCAGGGCCTGCAAGACAGAGCTCTTCCACCAGGCTTTCGACTAAGGAGCCGCATTACACACCGAGGAGTGCCCCTGTGCCCTGGCTTTACCACCTTTACCGCCGCACCATTGGAACACACGGTTACCTAAGCTGCATTATAAATAATTTTCCTCTTGCTTTTATCAGATCATGTTCCAGTGTTTTAGGAGTATTTTAAATGACTGCTATTTTATGTTTATGTTTATATGTCTATGACAGGTTTTAATTGTATTTTATATGAAACTCTATGTAAGCCGCCCTGAACCCACTTCGGCGGAAAGGGCAGGGTATACACCAAACTTGATGGTAGATAGATAGATAGATGGATAGATAGACGGACGGACGGACGAACACAGTTTTAGCCTTGTCGCCAGGAAACGATCCGTGGTCACTGATTGTGACGGCATGAACATTTGTGGAACCTCATTTTTAGTTTGTGTCTTACGTTCCTTCTACAAAGTACAATGTTCAGCATAATCTTTGGAGTGTCAAGAACTGCAGATTTATGTGTCTGAGATAATCCATCCGTCCGAAAGTGCTCAATTATTAAGCAACTAGCTTTACTCTGACAGGAATACCAGGTCTGCAAAAGTCGGCATTTGTTCTCCAGCCGCTCTACACTAGTTTCACCAGACAAAACGGGAAGCCGGAACAAACGAGTTCCAAGAAGAAGCCGAGATCCCGATTAGGGGCCCATGCTTAATATACCTATTCAATGGTTAAATTGTAAAGCAGATGAGTATTTTAAAAGTTAAAGCAAACCTATAGTTGAAGAAGGTCGGTCAAGCACAGAGTGATTCTACTCAGAGCTGCTCCAGGTGAAACCTACTGAAATCGATGGATTTCAGCAGAAGGGGCAGGATGATTGTCTCCCTTTCTGATGGAGACCTCCAACTCCATCCTCATGCTGTTCCGGGGGGGGGGAGGGGGTCCTCAGTCCCTCTGGAGAAGCCTGGGGTGGGATTTGTTGCTGCAGCATGAGGGTAGAGGCGGAGAAACCTCACTGCAGGGACAGAAATCCCTTCTGAATGCAGAAATCCGCTCGGGGTCCAAGACAGGAGTAAACGTCTCATAGGACTGCATTGAGCATCACCTGCTTTTAAAATAAAAAGGGTGACCGTCTCCCCTTCCATTACGTGTCGCCGCAGATTCTCCTCTCGTAGTCCTGTAACGAAACGGTCTCAAAGGGCCATGTCCAAGTGCTCCCCAAATTTGCACTCGGAGGCCAAGCCGCGGAGCTCGGCAAGGAACTCCGTGGCAGTTTCGCGGGCTTGCTGACTCCGCTGGTGGAACACCACGTGGCACGTCATCTCCGAAGGCTTCGGCATGTAGTGGTTCTGGACAGCCGTGACGATTCATCGAAGGTGCAGTCTTCGAGCTTATGGGAGAGGAGGTACTGGGCTGACCGCATCATTCATCCCACTGTCACGGTCATGTACGATGCGTCAACAGAATGTGGGCAGGTCCTACGGAGACACACAGACCAACTCCGTCGGCGCATGCTCCCAGAACACCCAAGCACGGAGGTTCCTGAACAACAGGCAAACCCAGAGGTGAGCCCCCCAGATGCCCCAGCGCAGGACCTCCCCACTGAAGAACGTCAGAACTTTGCCCCAGTCACCCCGGCAGCTGCCGAGGAAGGCCTGACAACTAACGCTTCTGCGCCAGAGGTGTCTGCACCCCCAGCGCATCCCAGCACAGCGGACGGGGCCCCGGAGGTCCCAGTACCGGCCCCCCCCGATGGTCCACTAGAGAACTGTGGTCCCCATTGTACTTAAAGGACTATGTGACCTAGGGTGGGTCCGAACTATGGGGGGAGGGATGTTATGTCCGCTGACCGCCACCAGGGGCCAGCGAATACCCCAGAGCTTGACTCTGTAAGAACAATGGGGACTAGGCTCCTAGTCTCTCCACTTGGGAACCAATAGGACTGTGGCGGGAGATTTAAACCCACCAACGGGACCTAGGGGTGTGTCCCCAGGTGTGTATATAGTTGACCAGCTGGCCATTAGTCTTTGTCTTTGTTGTGTACCAGTAAACCATGCTGATCACTACAGTCTCTGTGGTTTCTACCTACATGCATCTAACCCACTACACTCCAGTCCACCCTCCAAAGCATCCATTTTCTCCAGGTGAACTGATCTCTGAAGTCTGGAGATGAGCCCACCTGGAGACTGGCATCCCTATGGCACACACATGCACTCAGCATCTAAAAAGAAAAAGAAAAAAAAGAAAGAACTGCTATTAAAAGTAAATAAAGCAAAACCCACCTTTGCAAAGAGCTCAGTGTGTGTGCACGTCATGAAAATTATACACAGTTACTTTAACCGTCTATCCAACCACCCACTTCTGTAAAGAACAAACCAGGAAGTGGTGACAAAACAAGGCAGCAGAGCATGAAGGGAGAGACAGAAGTGACACTTTTGTTCTATGGCACTGGAATGAGCCTCTGCTGATACATGCAAAAGACGGAGGAGGGGAAACAGAAGTCAATGGTGTCTAGATCACGCGAAGTGATGGTATGGCTTCAGAGTGCTCTGTTATGTTCTCTTATGAGAGCCATTGTGGTTAAAGTGCCGGGACTAGGATCTGGGAGACCCAGGTTTGAATCCCCCACACATGCCATGAAAGCTTGCTGGGTGGCCTTGGGCCAGTCACACCATCTCAGCCTAACCAACCTTGCAGGGTTGTTGTGAGGATAAAACAAAGGAGAGGAGAATGATGTAAGCCACTTTGGGGACCCCACTGGGCAGAAAGGCAGGATATAAACAAAGTAAATAAATAAATGCACTCAATTTGTGTGGGGCGGCACATCAAAAAGTTGTCCACACTCCCCAATCAGGCAAAGTCATACATTTGCCTAGGGCATTGAGGATCACCGTTCTTTCGGCCCCGTGACCCCTAGGATTTGTTTTGGAGCTGGGCAGTGGTCAGATTTTGTGATTGTGAGAGCGCCACATCCCGCCTGGCCTTTCCTCAGCAGCAAGTGGCTGAATGCTCGGTGCTTTGCCGTTCCGTCTGGCAGATGGCTGCGAGCTCCAGGAGGTCATGCGCCCGGCCGGGCGGACCTTCGGTGCCACTGAAGCCTTCTCCCCCTCAGCAGCAGGCGAACGAGTTGGAACAATACATCACCCTCACAGCCCAATGATAAGGGATGACAGGTTGCGGGGGGGGGCGAGGCAAAGGTTATTGATGAGAAGATCCGTCTGGATAATTGCTGTAATTATATCCTGGGGATTCTGCGCCTTTCGGAGGCATTTGTGCTGCAGTTCTGAGGATAAATATAGGCCTGACAGTGGACTTCCATACTTGGCCTTTGCAACCACCGCGTTCTCCTTTTATACAAACAAAGGAAGAGACTTTTCAGCATTTCCTTGTGGTGAAGCCAAATGTCTTCTTCTCCCCCCCCAGCAAATCCAAAGGAAGGGGTTGCCTGAGATTGGATGGTGGCCAGTGGGAAAAGAAAATACATCTGAATCCAGCGGGTTATGATGATACCCCAGGAACAAACTGTAAGAAAAAGATTATCAGTAGTGCAAGACTAATTATAAGGGCAGTGAAGGATGCGGTCTCTCCTCCCTCCCAGCTTTATTAGAAGTAAATCCGAAACGCAAGTGAGAGACGCCAGATTCGCACAGCAGGTCCGCAAGCTGTTGGCATAACTCTGAATTCTCAACGATATGCTTGTTTTTGATGGTGTGGTGGTTTCCCCCCCCCAGCTGAAGTGTGGGAGGTTTAAAGGGGGGGAGAAATATTTATGGCATTTGTATGGTTAGGAGCGCGGACTAATCTGGAAGAACCGGGTTTGATTCCCCACTCCTCCACATGAAGTTGCTGGTGTGACTTTTGGTCAGTCTCAAGTCCTTTCAGAGCTGTTCTCTCACAAGCAGTTCTCAAAGAGCTCTCTCAGCCCCACCTACCTCACAGGGTGTCTGTTGTAGGGAGGGGGAGGAGATTGTAAGCTGCTCTGAGACTTCTTCAGGTAGTGAAGGGCGGGGTATAAATCCAATCTCCTCCCCCTCCTCCTCTTCTCCTCCTCCATCCCATATTCCAAGGAGTGCAGCATAACATACATGGTTGTCACGACACTCTGAGGTAGCTTTGGTCAAGTAACTGAACCAAAACCAAGAGGAAACCGGAACACCGGACTCCCACTTCCCATGCAACCCTCTATCTGGGGGTCCCCAACGTGATGCCCATGAGTACCATGGTATCAGCCAACATCTTTGCTGGGGTTCACCAAGTTTTCTTAGAAACTGCACAGGGCTAGGTGGGGCTTTTGTGCAGCAGGGCTTTTGTTTGGCCATTGGAAAGTCTTTTGGCTGTGCACAGCATTGCCACCTTCCAGGTGGGTGCTGGAGTTCTCCCAGAAGTATAATGGACTAGGAGTAAGGCCCGTTGTGGGAAGAAATACAACGAGCTCTAGAAGGAAGCTCCAGGTGAGTGTCATAAGAACATGTCAATGTTGGCTCAGGCCAAAGGTCCATCCAGTCCAACACTCTGTATCACACAGTGGCCAGAAATACCAGTGCCATCAGGAGGTCCACCAGTGGGGCCAGGACATTAGAAGCCATCCCACTGTTGACCCCCCCAAGCACCAAGATGACAGAGCATCACTTGCCCCAGAGTCCCTATCTATACCTTGTGGCTAATAGCCACAGATGGACCTCTGCTCCATAGTCTTACATAGTACTGTTATTAATTAAGAGAACATAAGAGACGCCAATGTTGGATCAGGCCAAAGGCCCATCCAGTCCAACACTCTGTGTCACACAGTGGCCAGAAATACCAGTGCCATCAGGAGGTCCACCAGTGGGGCCAGGACATTAGAAGCCCTCCCACTGTTGACCCCCCCCCAAGCACCAAGATGACAGAGCATCACTTGCCCCAGAGTCCCTATCTATACCTTGTGGCTAATAGCCACTGATGGACCTCTGCTCCATATGCTTATCTAATTCCCTTTTGAAGCCGTCCATGCTTGTAGCTGCCACCACTTCCTGTGGCAGTGAATTCCAAGTGTTAATCACTCTTTGGGTGAAGAAGTACTTCCTTTTATCCGTTCTAACCCGACCGCTCAGCAATTTCATGGAGTGCCCACGGGTTCTTGTATTGTGAGAAAGGGAGAAAAGTACCTCTTTCTTTACCTGCTCTTTCCCATGCATAATCTTATAAACCTCGATCATGTCACCCCTCAGTCGTCTTTTCTCCAAGCTAAAGAGCCCTAAGCGCTTTAACCTTTCCTCATAGGGAAAGTGTTCCAACCCTTTTATCATTCGAGTTGCTCTTTTCTGCACTTTTTCCAAAGCTATAATATCCTTTTTAAGGTGTGGTGACCAGAATTGCACACAGTATTCCAGATGAGGTCGCACCATTGATTTATATAGGGGCATTATTATATTGGCTGATCTGTTTTCAATACCCTTCCTAATAATCCCCAGCATAGCATTGGCCTTCTTTATTGCAGTCACACACTGTCTTGACATTTTCAGTGAGTTATCTACTACAACTCCAAGATCTCTCTCTTGATCTGTCTCTGCCAGTTCAGACCCCATCAATGTGTATTTATATTTAGGATTTTTGGCTCCAATGTGCATCACCTTGCACTTGGCCACATTGAACCCCATTTGCCATGTTGACGCCCACTTGCCCATCTTTGACAGATCCCTTTGGAGTGCCTCACAATCCTCACTGGTTTTCACCACCCTGAACAACTTCGTATCATCCGCAAATTTAGCCACTTCACTGCTTACTCCCAACTCCAAATCATTAATGAACAAGTTAAAAAGCAGTGGACCAAGTACTGATCCCTGCGGTACCCCACTGCTTACCCACCTCCACTGAGAGAACTGCCCATTTATACTCACTCTCTGTTTTCTATTAATTAGCCAGTTTTTGATCCATGAGCTTACTTAGGAGCCTTTGATGAGGAATTTTATCAAAAGCTTTCTGGAAGTCAAGGTAAACAATATCTATTGGATCCTGGCTGTGTCCTGGCTGTGGTTGGTGGGGTAGCAGAGGGAAGGGGGAAATAGAGGGAGGCAAGCCATGTTTATTTCCTTCTGCTTAGCTATAAGGCAGGGCTGTCTCAAGCCATTTTGCTGCCCCAAGTGGGTAGTATGGGAGGACAGCCTCATGGTAACAGGTATGGTTCCCTCCACCCCTGACTTACGTTGATTCGGGGCTCTGCAGTGGCACCTCCTCCTATGCTGTGTCTTCTGGGTTCCAAGGATCTGGAAAGCGGTTCCATAGCCAGTTACAGGGTTGCCAACTCTGGGTTGGGAAATACCTGTAGATTTGAGGGGTAGAGCCTGGGGAGGGCAGGGTTTAGGGTGTGGAGGGACCTCAGCAGGTATAATGCCATAGAGTACATTGCCCAAAGCAGCCATTGTAATAGCCGGGAAATTTTCTGTATGGGAAATGATGTGCTGTGGCTGGGGAACACGGTGATTTCTGGGAGATCTCCAGGCCCCATAGGGAGACTGGCAACTCCAGTGACCATCTAAGGGAAGATTGGGATATGTATTTTACCTCAGGACACATGACTCCCAACAGCAACAACAAACTATTTAGAATATTAGAGGCAAAGGCCAATCAGGCCACATATGCCAATAACCTTTGTTCTTACTGGCTATTGGGGGAAGAGGAACAGCAAACTGTTTAGAATATTGGAAGCGAGACTCAGGCAACGCAGCCAGTGGATAGGCACAGCTTCTGAGTGACAGATCAGGGAGCCAACTGACTTGGGAGCATGTGGAATGTTCAGGAGAGTCCATGACCAAAGCAGAATTATTATATAGAGAGATTTCTAGACTACAGAGATCAGATCCTCTGAAGGAAATGGCAGCTCCAGAGCATGGGTTCTATGAAACCAAATCCCTGCTGAGCTTAGGTTGCCAAGCAGCGCACAGCAACTGGAAGGAGGGGTATGGAGAGGACAATTTAAAAATTAAAAAAGAAAGATAAGGCCCCATCTCCTTACAGGACGTTCTTGCCATCGAGTTCCTGGCAATTCCTACAGGTAGGCAATTCCTACCTGGAAGTGACAAAGGGTAGCTCTGGGAATTGCCGGAAACATCTTGAAATGGCCTAAGTTTTTACCATAGCGTTTTCGGGAATTCCTAGAGTTACCCTTTGTCACTTCCAGGTAGCCCTAGGAATTGCCAGAAGCTCTATGGTAAGAAGTTGTAAGCCGACTAGGCCTTATTGTTCTTTTTTCTTTTCCTCCTGCTGCTAAAATGGGACCTGGGTGCTTCAGAGCCCTAGCTGAGCTCCCGTCCTTCCCCAGATTCTGCAAGCTCCACGCCCAAGTCTCCAGAAGTTCCCCCAGTTGCAGTTGGCAACCCTAGCTGTGCAGATTGTTATAATGTTGGTTGGTTTAGCAGCAGCTGCCACCATAGCACAAGGATCGTCACTGCATCACTGAAGGTATGCAGCATATCTGCAAGAAAAATATGTTTTAAACAATAGGTTCATTTTAAAAGGCACCCCGTTAAACAGAGTTTCTGCCTGAAGAGTTACTATTAGAGCCATGCACAGCCTCTTTCTCTTTCTGCCCTTATGAGGGCAGAATTTCAAAGGTTCTCCTGGGTCCAGGCTCCAAACGTTTGGAGAACCCTGCTCTATACCAACTTGGATCACATTGGGTTGGATCCAGTGGAGGTGAAAAGTACTCAGAAACCCACCACCAAAACACACCCCTATTTCCCTATAGGCTATTTACAGTAGCCGAGAGTCCCATAGGCTCTCGGCTGCGGACCTGGCCCTCTGATAGGTGCGGGCTAGGATCCGCTGTTCTATTGTTCTCTTAGAGCGAAGCTTCAGGCTTTGCTGACCGCATGGCCCAATGGTCGCGCACGTGGTAATGGCGGAGTACATTACAGGAGGATTTTCAAAAATGGGGAGGGAGACAATTTTCACCAGTTCCCCTTCCCACTGCTGACCTCCATCTCTGTCCCTCATGCTGTCTCTGGGAATCCCCCGTCCTCTAAGAGCCGCACTGGGGGCGGGCATTGGGGGCTGAAGCAGGAGAGAAAAGGAGAGAAATTCGCACTCTGATGGGAATCACTTATGTCAGCAGAAATTTGCAGGGTATCCAAGCCATTATAAGTGGTCTTCATAAGACACTGGAACAAACATTAGGGAGTTTTG